TGTCAGGGATACAAAACCAGCCCCTGCCCTCGAGGAGGGTGCCATTTCCCTGATGAGTTTAGTCAGGCCTCAAGGGTGGGTGAAACAACATGCCAGCAATTATGTAGAAACCAGTGTATACTGGGTAATTATAACCTCAGAGGGAAGGCACTAACATTTAGGAAGATTCTGGTTGGCCCCAGAGGGCTACCATAGAGCAGTGGGAATTCCTTTCAGAGAAGCAGATCTTGACTTGATATAAGAAAAATCTTCTTACTAATTAGACCCCCAGCCAAAACCTCAGTAAATTGGGTACATCCTTGTCACTGAAAGCCTTCATGTAGAGACTAGATGACCACTTATTGGGGTCATGATTTAAAAGGAATTCCTGCTTAGATTGGACTCTGAAGTTCTCATACTACTACTACTACCACCACCACCACTACTTCTACTGATGCTACTGCTACTGCTAATGCTACTACTAGCTAACATTTATTAAACACCTATTATGTTCCAGTCACTGTGCTAAGCACTTTACAATTATTATTTCATTTGATCCTCAAAACAACCCTGGGAAGTAGATGCTATTATTATCCTCATTTTACAGATGAGGAAACTGAGACAAACAGAGGTAAAGTGACTTGCCCAAGGTCAGACAGCTGGTAAACATCTGAGGCTGGATTTGAACTTGGTTCTCCTTAGCTGCCCTTAGAGCATCTATGAGTCATAGATCAGGAGCTGAAACTGACCTCAGAGGTCTTAGGATCCATTGCTTTCATTTTACAAATGAGAAAACTGGGATGCAGCTAGATTGAATGACTTGCCCAGGGTCACCCAGGTTTACTAAGTGTTGGAGGCAGGATTTGAAGCTGTGTCCTCTGACTCTGGAGCCAGGGCTCTTTCCACTATATACCACGTTGTCTTCCAAGAGTAAAGTATCAGTCAAACAGGATGTCTTCATTTTTTCTGTGTCACAGACCCCTTGGGCATCTAGTGAAGCCCTTCTCAGAATGCTTTTATGTGCCTACAGTAAAACAGGGAGGATCACAAAGGAAAACAGTGATATTGAAACACAGTTATCAAAATATTTAGAAGTTCATGGACCCCAGATTGAGAACCCCTACACAAAAGGAGTCTATAACTAGTTAGTGGGCTTGCCAAGCTTGTGTCTTCCTATAGCAAGAATTTGAGGTTATTGGAGGCAATTCCCCATGTGTTTGCTCTCCCTTTCTTAGTCAACCAACTAGAAATTTTCCAGTTTGGACTGATTATTAGGTAATTTCTCCCATGGGCACCAGCTGTGACACCGTGTATTTGTCTTCATTAGCAAGGAGACAGACACCTGAGGCTTCATGGGGGGAGGAGTGGCACACCCTGCACCCTCTCCCTCTACCTGCACCCACCCCTGCAGGAGGCAGCATCCTCAGGGAAGGTGAGCAAGGCAGGGATTACCTGTAATGTCTATGGCTACTGAGAAACAGGATTGGCCTTGAGAAGGCAGAGCCGGGTCAGACCAAGCATATCCCAGCTGACAGTTGTGGCCACGAGGCCACTGGCCCTGCTTAGATTCCAAAACTCAACCAGAAAAATGATGTGTTATTAGGCAGTTTGACCAGACTGTTTCAGGGAACTTGCTTGGTTAGAGGTGCTTGATTGAATGTTTTCTGGAAAGTGTGTAGATAGATATATAAAGAGATAAACATATATAGAGATAGATCTATACCTATTTACACACATGTATGTGTATATGTGTGTGTATACACATACGTATATATACATTTATTCAACACATATTTTTTACTTTTTTAAAAAAAAAAGAAAGAAGGAAAGGAAAAAGATAGGTTCAAAAGAGGAACAGAAGCCTCTTGTACTTGATCTGATCTTTTTTTAACTACTTATATTTTCATCTTCCCTCCCTCAAGCACATACTCTGTCTCCCTTTCTCTATTTTTTTAAAATTCTGAACTTAACACTAAATAAAAGGAGTATATCCTGTACAATGTAGAACAAGCAATAGGAAAGAATTATACATGAAACCGGACATCTCTATTATATAGCATTGGCTTTACTTTTAAAGTATCTCGTAAGTTCAACATGTAATTTTCTGCTTGTCTGTGATTTCCTTCTCACCTCTTTGCAATTTGAAGTGAAGGAAGGATGGAGAAGGAACCTTCTTTAACTTTTCTTTCCTCTCACCTCCTCACTGTGCCCATTGAGGGAAAAAAAAAAGAAATATAAAATTTTTGTAACAAATATACGTAGTCAAGCACAAAAAACTGCCCAGTCAGCCAGATCTGAAAATACATGTCTCATTCTGTGTCAAGTCCGTCACCTCTCTGGAGGTGGGTAGCATGCCTCATCATTGCTACTCTGTCTACTGCTTTGGGGAGCCCATCAAAGGAAAGGGAATAGAGGGAGGAAGAAGGCCTTTTGCCAACCTGTATTATCATGGATATTAATTATTTTATCAGTTATTTGTAATTGTGCTACAACACACTGTTTCTTCCCTCTCCTGCAGCATTCTGAAATGCTTAGCTCTTGTGTGTGTGTGTGTGTGTGTGTGTGTGTGTGTGTGTGTGTACAGAATACAGATAGATGGCAACTATATACAAAATTGAATTGTTGTCGTGCCTCACTGCACTGGTAGATGACATCCAGTGCTTCTATATCAGGACAAAGCATGTGACAGCTAGCCTATTACACCAGTGGTGGTGGGGTAGGGATCTTGGCTGGAGAGCTTCCCGCTGTGGGTAGGAGCTAATTCCCCGAGTTGGAATGGGTCCACTGCAGTGACAGGACTGGACAGAGCAGCTGCAGAAGGTCACAAACAACTCCCTCTTGCCCCAAGCACTGTTTCCTTTTATCCCAAAGCCCTCACTACCCCCAGGCACCACTGTCACCCTGAACTAGACTTATGGGGCCATGCATTGCAGTGGCTCTTTGGAATCCTCCTTATCACAGTGGCTCACACTTATCTGGAGATCATGGTCCAAGTGGAAAGAGCGCTGGCTTTGGCGTCAGAGGACAGACAGTTCATAAGATTGCAGATTTAGAGCTAAGAGATCATCTGATCCAACCCCTTCGTTTTATAGAGGAGGAATTGAAGGACCAGAAAGCCTGAATTGCTAGTGCAGGGTCAAATAGTTTATTTTGAGGAGCCGGGATTGGGAGCCAGGTCTTCTGGCTTCTACCATTAATGGAATTATTGTAGAATGAAAAAACGGAATTATTAGGACCAGGTCCTGCTAAATCATGCTGCAGCCCTGCCTTTGGGACCTTGGACATGTCACTTAACCTCTCTGGTCCTTACCTTCCCTCTTTGTAAAATAAGGGGAGTGTTCCAGACGACCGCTAAGGTCCCTTCTTGGCTCTAAATCTATTATACCATGAGGTTTACCTAAATGCTTACCTATGAAGTAAGCAGTACAAGTGTTAGCATCTGTTATTTACAAATTATGGTAATAATAACTGTAATTTACATAGCACTTTATACATGTCTTCTCATTTGCTTCTCATGACACTTTATGAAATAGGTATTACTGATATTATTATCCCTGTTTTACAGAAAAGGAAACTGAGGTATAGAAAGTTCAGTGACTATATAACTACTACGTGCCAAGAGTCTGGATGTGAACCCAAAGCTCTCTTTGCCTGAGGTCACAGAGTGAGTCAGTGGCAGGCCAGGACCAGACCCTCACCCCCTGTCACTCATAATGGAGAGAGCACTGGCCTTGGAGTCGGGAAGACTTGAGTTCAAATCTAGCCTCAGATCCCTTGACACCCCCAGTGGTGAAAGTGCTGGGCTTAGAGTCAGGAAGACCTGAGTTCACTTACTGAGGCACTTAGTAGCTGTGTGACCCTAGGCATGTGACTTAACCTCTGTCTGCTTCAGTTTCCTCAATAGTAACAGCACAGGGTTGTTCCCAGGGTTGTTGTGAAAATCCAATGAGATAATAAGTGTAAAAGCACTTAGCACGTTGCCTGGCACGTGAGCACAAATGCTTGCTCCCTCCCCTCCCCCAGTATTTCCTTCCCTACACCACACTGCCTTCTCAAGAAATCCCTTGACTTTAAGATGGATTTTGTTTTGATTTGCCCTTCACAAAGAGGAACTAAGGGAAATAATGAGGTTCTACATCAGGTGGAAGAGAGGATTTGTTTTAATTAAAATTTGATTCAATCAATGAAGATCCATCTTCTCTCTCTCCTGCTTTTCCCTTCCCATTCCTGTTAAGAAAGAAAAATAAAACCCCTGTTATAAATAATTAAGCAAAACAAATTCCTGCATTGGCCATGTCATACATATATGTGTGTCTGTATATATACACATCTATGTATGTATATATTCATGTGGATCTATGTCTCATTCTGTACTCTGATCATTTACCTCTTTCTCTGTCAGGAGGTGAGTAGAATGTGTTGTCATGAGTCCTGGTAGAGAGATTTTAAAAGAAATAGAAAAGATACCCTCCCTGATCCCTGAGGATTGTATAGTTTGCTTGGGTAAGCAGAGCACAGATATATGAAAATGACTTAGACACACATCACTGCAGTCTCTGACATATTACTGTCTTGTGGCAGCAGCCAGAATGTTTTGTTTTGTGAGCTTTGGACTCTGTGGTTTTTCCTTGAAACCTACTTTTCCCTCACTCTCTTGGTTTATGCAGGAATGGAAGGGATGGAACAGGAGAGCTGCCTTTAAGTATTTGAAGGGCTGTCAGGTAGAAGGATTCGATTTATTTTAACACCAGATGGCAGAACTAATAGCAATGGGTAGAAGTTAGAAAAAGGTAGATTTTAACTTGAAAATGAGATAAAAAAAACCTTTCTATTAGAGTCATCCCAAAGGGCAGTGAGCCGGTTCAGGAGATAGTGGGGTTCTTTATCATTCAAAGTCTTCTGGTAAAGGCTGAAGTGTTGGGGTGTTAGGGACGGGGATTTCTGCTCAGATACAAGTCAGACTAGATGACTATAAAAGCCCCTTCCTTCTGGCTCTGAGATCCTGTCATTCTTTACCACAGGGCACCAGTGATTTCTGTGTAGCTCCGGACAAGTTCATCCTGAATGTCACGCAGGGCCGGATGAGCACAGGTAAGCAATGTGAAGGGATGAATCAATGCAAAGAAGCCAAATTATGTCCAGTTAGTTTAGGCTGGTGATTACGCCTTCCTTCTTTTATTCATTTCCCTTCCCCCACTCCCATGCCCACCCCTTTGCTAGAATATGTGGTTTCCTGGTTTTCTGCTCTCTTCAGTCATTCTTTTCCTTGTGATGGTTTGCTCTCCCAGCATCTAGGACAGAGCTTGGTGTATAACACATGGTTGTCGATTCATTTGCTCTTCTAATCTCCAGAAAGAGCAGACTCAGACAGAGCCCTCAAGGGGTTATTGAAGGGAGGTAATCTGGATGGCTCTTAGGAGGAAGGCTGACTCTGGAAAGCAGAGGGAGGGCCACTTGGATTGCCAGTGGGCGGATGCTCAATTAGGACCCTCATCACAGCCAGTGTCTTTGCTTTTCAGAGATAACCCGTTACTACCTGTATTGCAGCCAGGGCCTGAGTAACCCATTCCAACAGGTATGCACATCCTTCCCTGCCCTATTCCTCCATAACACCACAGTTTCCTCCAAATTCCCCATCATCACCACCTGCATCTTGGCTAGTAAGAATAAATTTGTGTAGTTTCTAGGGCTGTGTTTGCTACCACCTCATTTTTGTCCTTTAGAGAAAGATTTGTTCAGTTTCTTCATCTGTAAAATGGGAATGCCGTATTTCACTGCATAATTGTCACACCCTGTTTTTTCAGTCCCAAAATTGGTTTGGAACCTTTTGTCACGATTCGTCACATGGTATAATTCTGTTTGTCACTCTGCTTAAAAGGTAAACAGCAGCCATGTATTCACCAGTGGCATATGGATATGGATTTATCTCTCGCTCATGCATTGTGAGCCTAGAATTCTCAGCACTTGTGCATTGTCAGTATTCAATTTTAATGTATATTCACAAGTATTCCATGCATCCTAATCTTGCACCAAAGACAGTTTAGTAATAAATTATTTTTTCTTTGATAATTTATTTCTTTTTCGTTTTCAACATTTACTTCCATAAGATTTTGAGTTCTAAATTTTCTTCCCCTCCCACTGCTCTCCCCACCCCAACCCCCAACATGGCATGCACTCTGATATAGGCTCCACTTATAATAAATGATTTTTAAGTAATACCAGCACACATTTTTAAAGCTTCACATAATGGTCGCATCCCACTTTTTTACATAAATTGTCATAAAACCTGCGATGATTATGCAGTGAAATACAGCAATAACAGCACCTACATCGCAGGATTGTTGATCATATGAGATCGTATCTATGAAGTGCTTTGCAAACATATAAATGTTAAAACCCTCAACAGTCTAGTTTTGTTGTATTGTTGTTGTATTCTGGGGCAATTTGTGCTGGGAAAACATACAATGGATTTTAGGAACCCTCGGGCCTGAAGATGAAGGAGATTCCAATGCTAGCTGGAAGGGGGCATGCATGATCGGGAATGCTCTGGTGAACTCGTTCTAAGGGTCCACGTTGACTTCATGGGGAGGATTGAGCCCCAGGGTCTATAATAGCAGGGTCCCTAGAATGATCCTAGTGCATCCTTGGCTCCTGAGTGTGAAGGTGGAGAATGGCAAATGACATCTGATGCTCTGCTTCTCTGTTGTTCTCAGGCATTGACCATCTTCCAGCGATCATTAACTACAATGCAGATCCAGGTCCTTGGCCTATTACAATTTGCAGTGCCCTTATTCCCCACAGCAGAGGTGAGGAGAGGAAATGTGCATCCAGCAGGAAGTAAGGATGGGGAGTAGGAGTGGGAGGGTGGGGGGAAGAAGGGTAGTGTTCATGTCTTTCTAAAGCCCGGGAGGCATGATCATTTAGTCCATCTTCCAGAGAGGGTCATACAGTAGAATGAGGACTGACAAAGGCCCTTTGGGCACCAGATCTAGCCTGGGTAATCTCTCTCTTACCATGGCATCAGTTGATATTTAAGAGGTTTTTTCCTCACCCTTCCCTCATGCCCTCTCAGATGGTTAGGAATGTACTGAGGATTATCTTAATCTTTGTAGGCAGTTAGAATACTGCCTCTGATTCTAAACTTTCTGTGGGATCTTCGACAAATCACGCTTTTCCTGTCTGAGCTTCAATTTCCCCGTCTGGAAAATGAGGGGGTTGGACAGAATGACCTCTGAGGTCCCTTCTGATTCAAACTCACATCCTGTGATCACATCATGACCTGCAAACTGCCTGTAACTCAGAGCATCCAAGAGCCTCGGCTAGAAACTAATACCCATCGCACCCTTTTCCCTTTCCCCTGCCCTTTCTCCTCCTCCTTCTCCCTTACCCACCTGGTTCCCTGGAGCCAGGTTCCCGCTTGCATGAGCCAGACTTGCTTTCCAGTATTTTTGAGAGGGTGCTGAGAATGTGTAATGCATTCTCTCTCCATCCCTCTTCCTCCCGGGTTGGCTTCTTCCCCCTGGTTTTAAAAGCTGCTTTGCAAAAGCAGGCTTATTGTTGCAACCATAAACCTTGTCTCCCTCTCTCCACTTCAGAAAGATCTGCTTGGGATACAGCTGCTGCTGAACTCATCTGAGTCCAGCCTCCATCAGCTGACTGCCATGTTAGATTGCAGAGGGCTGCATAAGGTATACTAGCTGGGGAGGGGAATACAGCCTGCACTGCAGGATTAAGGGCTTTGCCCAAGCTAGGGTGACCAACGGAGGATGGCAGGTGGGGAGCAGTTGCTTTGAGACCTAGGCTAGGCTTCACCATGAAGGAGCTATAGCTGTAGAGTAAAGGGGAGGGTGTTGGGGTTCGTGAGTCTCCTGAGATTCCTTTTAGCAGCTGGGAGAAGGAGGCTCTGAGTAAATCACTGAAGCCTTCTGTTCCAGGGAATGATGAGTCACTGCCCCATACTGCAGACACACAATCCCCAGCCTACCCAGCTGTTCTCCTGGGGAGTTAGGATCCCAGCCTTTCTCTTATCATCCAAAAGGATTATTTAAAGACTTGTTTGCGCAAAGAAAACTAGAGAGACCCAGTCCCTGCCCTCTAAAGAAGGCCTATGTGTGTGGACAGAAAACATATATATATATGTGTGTGTATATGTGTGAGAAAGAGAGAGAGAGAGCATGTGCACACCAGAGAAAAAGATCTGATATTTTGTAAGGGCAAGATATTACTAGTTTGGGAGCTTCCTCTACAACAGAAATTTCAGATCTCTATAACTTAGATAAAACCAAGGGAGTTTTCTGAGACATACAGACATTAAGTGACTTGCTCAGGTCTTCCTGATTCCAAGGCCAGGCGCTGTCCACTGTACTATACCTATATAGAGAATGTGCAGTGGAAAGAGGCCTAGATTCAAATTTCAGCTTCTCTACTTAGTACCAGTGTGACCTTGGACAAATCACGTAACCTCTTAGGAGGATGTTAGACTAGATGGCCTTTAAAGTTTCTTCAAGATCTAAATATAAGGCTATGTTTGTTCAGTCACATCCAACTCTTTGTGGACCCATTTGGGGTTCTTTTGGTAAAGATACTGGAGTGGTTTGCCATTTCCTTCTCCAGCTCATTTTACAGTTGAGGAAACTGAGGCAAACAGAATTAAATGACTTGCCCAGGGTCACCCAGCTAGTATAGCTGGATTTTGAGACTGGATTTAAACTGGAAAGATGAGTTTTCCTGACTCCAAGCTAGGTACTCTATCCGCTGTGCCAGCTAGCTGCCTCAAAAATGTAAGGTGATAGGAGACAATGAACTGGTCTATGATAACATGAAAGTATTCACAACAAATGCCTACTTTAGAGGGAAGGGCAGGAAGAAGTACTCAACAAGAATGGCACCTTGAGTTGTCATGTTCATTCCAGAATGAGTTTTCCATCCCTTTCCAGGATTACCTTGATGCCCTAATTGGTATCTGCTATGATGGCGTTGAAGGGCTGCTCTACCTTGGCCTATTCTCCCTCTTGGCTGCCATGGCCTTCTCGACCATGATCTGTGCAGGGCCTCAGGCCTGGAAATATTTGGTTGTGAGGTAGGTTGATGGGAGAGAGAAGACAGGAGTCTCCTCCTGTTTCTCATCTCTGCAAAGGGATAAGGAGGGATATGATGACCAGTCTTGGTCCTCTGCTCTGGGATTTAAGCAACAAGAGCCCATATAAGTCTAGAAGAGAGTGGGAGAATGGTCGAGGCTTCAGCCTTCAGCAGGTGGTTGATTTTCTGTGGAAGTATCCAGGAAATTTTAGGAGCTTTAATGTGGAGAGGTGATGGTGATCATAGTGGGTTGGGTTGGGGAATGCTTTTACTAAAGTTAGACCATGGTATCTTTGAGCTGCCCCTCCCCTTAGGGATGAATTCCTCTGATGTTAAGCCTTAAAAGGTAGTTAGAAGAAACCAGGATGAAGCTAGACAGCTAGAAAGCTAAGCAGACAGTGTGCCCTAGACAGCTCCTTTTCTGTTGCTACCCTTCACTGTCTTGTGTTACAGGAGACCTTACATTATAGAATGAATGGGGTGGGGCGGGAGAAGGTTATACTAGTGTTCTCTTATCAGTCTCATTTCTCTCTGTTTCCCACTGCTGCCCATACTTTCTCTAGCAACCAAGAAAGATAATTTCTGCTGTATGCTAAGCATAATGGAGATGCAAAGATGGAAAGATATGAATTTAATATATATTTTAAAAAATTAGAAATCCAACAAATAAACCTAAAATAAGCACAAAAGAAAAGTTAATAAAGATTAGAGGGGAAATAAATTGGAAACAACAGAAATTATAAATAAAACTAAAAGCTGGATCTCTAAAAAGACTACTAAAATTGGTAACCCCGTAGCCAGTATGATTAAAAAGAATGGAAAATTAAATCAGTAAAATAGCAAATGAGCAAACTGAGATCACAACAAAACCAGAAGAAATAATAAGAATAATCGGAACATATTATGTTCAATTATATGCTAAGCAAACTGAGAACACAAAAGAAATAGAGAAATACCTTTAAAAATATAAAATAACCAAAGTCTCAGAAGACCAGTTAGAAATCTTAAATAACCCAGTCTCAGAAAAGGAAATAGATTTAGCTGTAAAGCAACTACCGAAGGACCATCCTAGTCCTAATGGTTTCACAGGAGAATTCTATCAAACTTTTAAAGAACAGTACCCAAATTATTCTCAAAAATTCAGAAAGAAAGCACCTCACTAGAAACCTTTTATGAAACAAATATAGTCCTAATACCTAATTCCCTAAACTAGGGAAGGATAAAACACAGAAAGAGATAGACCAATATCATTAATGAACATTGACTCAAAAATTTTAAACAAAATCCTCAAACAGACTACAGCAATTTATCCAAGAAATCATCCATTATGATCAAGTGAGATTTATACCAGGAATGTTCAACATTAGGAAAATAATCAACATAATTAATCATATTAAAAACTAAAATATCTAAAACCACATGATTTCCACAGAGGAATATCTAGTCCTGGAGAATTAATATCATAAAAAGCATCAATCTAAAACCAAAATCAAGCATCAAAAGCAATGAGAATACACTAGAACCTTTTCCAGTAAATACAGGCATGAAGCAAGGATGCTCGCTCTCCTCATTTATTGATGTAGTTCTGGAAATTCTAATAGTAATAAGACAAGAGAAGAGAAAGAAATAAAGATAGGTAAGGAGGAGATAAAACTACCCCTATTTGCTGATGATATGATGGTCTATTTGGAAAATCTTAGGGAGTCAGCAAAGATACTAATTGAGATAATAGCTTCAGCAAAGTTGCAGGCTACAAAATAAATTCTTAAAAATCAACTACATTTCTAGTAATACTAGCAAAACACAAGAAGCAATAATAGAAAGGAAAATCCCATTTCAAATAACCACAAAATGCACAAAATATCTGGGTATCAACCTCCCAAAGCACACAGAAGACTTGTATAAATTCAATTACAAAGTATTCTTTAAAAAAATAAGGAACTTAAATAGTTAGATGAATATTCAGTGCTCATGAAAATGACAATACAACTGAAATTAATTTGTTCTTTTGATGCCAAAACAATCAAATTACCAAGGGAATACTTTACAGAACTTGATAAAAAAAAATAACAAAATTCCTTTGGAAAAGCAGATCTAGAATATTGAGGAAAATGATGATGCTTCTCCAAGGATGGAGAGAAAATAGTACTTCTAGACCTCAAATTATATTATAAAGCAGCAATCACCAAAACCATCTGGTATTGATTAAGGAGCAGAGAGAGATTAATGGAACAGACTAGATAGGCAAGGGAGATTCAGAAATAATAGAACTCAATAACCCATTGTTTGATAAAGTAGCACATGTAAAATTACCTAGGAAAAAACTCCCTATTTGATCAAAACTGCTAAGAAAACTAGAAAGCAGTCTGGCCGAAATTAGGCTTAAACTAACATCTTATACCATAATCCACAAAACTTTCAAAATGGATACACCTCAACATTAAAAATCATGCTATTAAAAATTAGAAGAGAAACAGGTCATATATTTCTCAAAACTATGAGTAGGAAATGTATTCTTAACCAAACAAGAAATAGAAGCAAACAAAATATAAAATAGATAACTTTGATTACTTGAAACTGAAAAGCTTCTGGACAGACAATATTAATGCATCTAAGATAAGAAGGGAAGTGGTCAAATGGGAAAAAATCTGTATCTAATTTCTCTGAGAAGAGTTTGATATCCAGGATATATAAAAACTCTCTCTCTCCCTCTCCCTCCCTCCCTTCCTTCCTCCCTCCCTTTCTCCCCTTCTCCCCTTCTCCCTCTCTTTCTCTCTTTCTCCTTCCCTCTGTCTATCTCTGTCTCTCTTTATATACACACATATATGACTGATATCCATTCCTCAATAAATAAATGCTCAAAGGATATAAACAAATAGTTCTCAAAAAAACTGCCAAGTATTTACAAACACATGAAAGAATGCTCCAAAATCCCTAATAATAAGGGAAATGCAAATGAAAACAACCCTGAGGTTTTACACTCAGATCCTGCAAATTGGAAAAAATGACCAAAAATGGCAGGAGTCAATGTTGGAGGGGTTGTGGAAAGGTAGCATACATTGTTGATGGAGTTGTGAAATAGTACAACTATTATGGAAAGTAATTTGGAATTATGCAAATAAAGTGACTAAAATATCTATACCCTTTGATCCAAAGACCCCATTACTGGGCTTTATACTCTAAGAAAGCCATCAATAAGAAAAAAAGTCCCCATATACTTCAAAATATTTATAGCAGCATTTTTTGTGATAGCTAAGAATTAGAAACAAAATAAATCCACAACAATTGGGGAATAATCAAACAAATTGTAGTACATATGTGTAATGGAATATTATTGTACTGTAAGAAATTATATGTGATAAATACAGAAAAGTATGGAAAGATCTATATGAACTGATGCAGAGTGAAGCAAACAGTCAAGAAAACAGTATACACAGTAACTCCAGCAATGTCGATGGAAAGAATGACACACCAAAAAAAAAAAAAAAAATCAAAAGTAAATGTAACAAAATTATAAAGATGAAACAGGACTCAAATGAGAAGTGTGAGAAGACACCCCTACCCTGTCCCTTCAGAGATAGGGAGATAGCTAGAGATAAGTAGATGGAGCATGTAGTAAGCACTCACTGTATGCCCTGTGCTAAACCGTGAGAACACAAATACAAGAAAAAGAAAGACAAGACATACAAGAGAGCTGAAAAGCAGGGGATGGGCAGATAAGGGAAGGTATTCACATAGGGGAAGGTGGAGAGGAGATCTGGGGCACCATGGACTGACCTAGCTTTGAAGAAAACAGGATGGCTAGCATGGGCACTAATAGAGGCAGGACCTCAAATAGAGGTTCTGGGAGGAACTCACCAATGAGAGGCAGAAGCCACGGGGGCAGAGGCCTTGCCATAGTGAGGAGAAGGCTCCTGTGGTCCAGAAGTGGAGAGGTGGTCAGAATAAAACACAAGTCCCTACTTTCAAGGTTCTCACAAAAGAAAATGTATACATATGAAAATAAATGTTATACTGTCTTGTATTGCTCGTTAAGTGTCCTATTTAGTAAAGGTAACGTGGGAAGTGGTAGATAAGGGGTATGGATAAGTGCTATTGGTATTTAGAGACAGGGAAGGTTGTCCTGGGCTGATGTGGTCATGGAGGACTTCAGGGAGGAGGTGAGTCTTGACTCCTGTTTTATTTGGATGAAAAATGACAAAAGGCTGGGTACTCCAGTTGTAGAGGACACAAGTAAAAGACCAGACTGGTTAGGGTGGAGAGTTCATGTAGAGTAGCAGGCAACAAGGTTAGCAGGGTGGGTTGGGGGCTAAATTGTGGAAGGCGTTGAATGCCAGGCTAAGGACGCCTAGTGTTCTGACCCATGCTCCTAGCTCTGACATGCCATGCTCTGCCTCTTGTTTCAGGGACAGGAGCTACGATGACATTGATGAAGATGACCCTTTCAACCCCCAGGCCCGGCGCATTGCTGCCCACAACCCTACCCGGGGGCAACTCCGAAGTTTCTGTAGCTACAGCAGCAGCCTGGGCAGTCAGACCAGCCTGCATCCCCCAGCCCAGACAGTCTCAAATGCCCCTGTCTCAGAATACATGTGAGGCCAAGGGGAGGAGTGGGTTCAGCACCCTCAGCTTCCCCCAGTCCCAAGTTAGGAAAACAAACCATTGTACAAAATTCCTTCATAATTCTATTTTGCCTAAAAAGAGATGCTGAGGGCTTCCCTGCATCTGACTTCCTAGGCCAACAGGATAGAGAAAATGCCCCTACTCCATAAAATGAAAGGGGCGTCCCCTGTACATGGCCTGTGATGAGCTAGCCCTGGGCTGGGGCACCACTGACCATGGTTAGAATCATCAAGACAAGATAGGGCTGCATAGAAAGGTAGTAAAGGCAATTGAACAAAAAATATCACAAAGTATGAGTTCTTAGCTTGTATCATAGACACCTTTTCAGAATAATGTTTTTAAATGCATAAAACAAAATACGTAGGATTACAAAGGAAATAATTCTATTACTATAAAATTATAATTGTCTTATAAAAATTATAAAATTATAAAATTATAAAAAAATTTGTTTTTAGGTCCACAGCCCTCAGGTTAAGAAGCCCTAATCCTGGAGAGATCCAGGGACTGGGGCAGAGGTCCTAATGTGTGCTCACTAGCCATTCCTTCTGTCCTTGTACTCAGCCAGTGATATTTAGCAGCTACGATATGTTATTATATATTATATTATATTATTATATTATGTTCTATTATGTTGTGTTATATCATATCATATCATATCACATGTACAAGTCTCTACTGGATGACCAAAGGGCAGGTGTGAGTGTTTAATAGACATTTCTAGATGTAGACAGTTGTTGGGGTGCCGCAAATCCCATATCTTCCTATCTGGGCATCTCCCTCCTGAAGTGAGCCTGCCCTGTACCCAGCTTGTTTGTACCTTCTTCTCCCCTTTTGTTTTCACCTTCCCCCTCTATTTTAGCTTTCTTGTTCCCCCTTCTAAGCAGTCTTCTCCAACCTTGCAGGAACCAAGCGATGCTCTTTGGTGGGAACCCACGCTATGAGAACGTCCCGCTGATCGGAAGAGCCTCTCCTCCCCCCACGGTACTCTAGCCTACTAAAGTTAAGTCATGGCAATAAATTCCCCTTTTCCCAAATTCTCCCTCCTTAACAGCCTTTCCTTTTGAAAGAAGGAGGGAAAGTGGAGGAGAAGGGGTGGAGATCCCACAGTGGCTGGGCTGGTGTTAGATCCTGAGCTGTCCACCATCTGGCATTCTTTAGAGTAGATCAAATGAAATGTAAAGAGTCTGAAATATTCAGGGGACTCCTGGGTAGAGTTATTCCCTTGACTAATGAAAGTTGGCACCTTCTCTGTAATTTATATGTGGTCTTGTGGAATTTTGTAGAGCAGAGGTATCAAACACTTAACAACACTCCCCCCTGCAACCAGATAAAAAAAAAATAAACAAAATAAATAAAAATACAATAGAACATAGATAATGTTGACATTTGGTTTTTTAAGTCAATAAACTGTCTTCAGGGATTCTTATATGAAGAGGCATTTAGGTGACTCAGTGGATAGAGCACTGGGCCTGGAGTCAGGAATATCTGGGTTCATATCCAGCCTCAGAAGCTTCCTAACTGTGTGACCCTGGGCAAGTCACTTAGCTTCTATCTGCCTCAGTCCACTGGAGAAGGAAATGGCAAACCACTCCAGTATTTCTACTGAGAAAATCCCATGGACAGCATTGGTGTGCTTTGGTCCATAGGTCACAAAGAGTCGGAAAGGACTGAGCAGCAGTGGACCAGTTTCTATTTGAGTTTGACCCCCTCTGTGGTAGAACATTGAGAGATTAAGTAATTAGCCTAAGGTCACACTATGTGTCAGAGGCAGGGCTCGAGCTTGGGTGTTCCTGGCCATCTATCCACAGTGCCTTTCACTGCTGAATTATAGCAGGGTACAATAATGGATATTTTGGGAGAGGAGGAATGAAGGGATTAGAGTGCCATAGGATTGTGGATTTCAAAATAGAGAGACCTTAAAAGCTATCTAGCCCAACCTCCTCATTTTATAGGTGAGGAAACTGAGGCACAGAGCAGTTCATAGGATCATAGATTTAAAGCTGGCAGGGACCTTAGAGACCATCCAATCCAACCCTCCCCTCCCATTTTTGTTGTTCAGTTGTTTTCCAGTCATGTCCGACTCTTCATGACCCCATTTGGGGTTTTCTTGGAAAAGATATAGAAGTGGTTTGCCATTTCTTTCTTCAGCTCATTTTACAGGTAGAGAAACTGAGGCAAGCAAGGTTAAATGACTTGCCCAGGGTCACAGAGCTATTAAGTGTCTGAGGTCAGATCTGAACTCAGGAAGATGAGTCTTCCTGATCCTAGCCTTGTGATCTATCTACTGCACCACCTAGTTGTCCCCCCATTTTACAGATGAGATGAAAGAGTTACAGAGAACTCAAGTGACTTACCCTAGACCATATAGCTAATAAATAAGTGGCAAAGCTAGGATTTGAATCCAGGTCCTGTCATTCCAAGTCTGCTTGAGGTTTCATTTGTCTGCAGCATGTATTGATGTGGACCACCTAATTCCCTATTGATGGTGGATAATGGAAGTGTGTTAACTCCTATTTTGGTCTTTTCCCATTGAGGGTTAGCCTCTCACCTGTGTCCCCCATGATAACTTGTGAGAGCCTTGAACTCTTTTCCTCCCCCCATCTTTTTTTTTTTAGGCAATTGGGGTTAAGTGACTTGCCCAGGGTCACACAGCTAGTGTCAAGTGTTTGGTCTGAGGCTGGAATTGAACTCAGGTCCTCCTGACTTCAGTGCTGGCGCTCTATCCACTGTGCCACCTAGCTGCCCTGGAGCCCTGGACTCTTGCAGGAGTCAGATGGCAGAAGGAGGAAGAACTGGTCAGTAATCCAGACTGCGCTGGTCATGAATGAAATGTCCTGGGAAGGCAGAAAGCACATCATAGGAGAAAGTGAGGGAGATTGAGCAGCAAGCCAGGATTGTACCCACCCCACCCCACCCCACCCCCGGGGCAGATTATTTGAGCTCGATGAGACCTCTAAACCCCTTCCTCTTACAGATGAGGAGACTACAGCCCACAGAGAGAGGACACCGGACTTGGGTCACCCAGTAGGTGTCTGAGATGGGATTTGAACCCAGACCTTCCTGACTATGGCCAGGTCCAGGGCTCTGTCCGCTGTACTGTTGCTCATGCCTTTTTGAAGCAGATCTGAGCCGCTTCTGAGGGTCCTCTGGAGCCCTTGGGACAAGGAGAAAAACAAAAGAGTGGCTGAGGGGGTGGTAGGTTCAACCTGGGGCTGGGTTGGGCTGGGCAGCCAATGGCCTGTCCCATATCCAGGAGAAGGGGTCCCAGGCAATTTAGAACTCTGGCAAGGAATTCTTATTTTATCTGCCCTTCAGCCTTGCGTCCAAGGTCTGCTGTTGATTATCTATGCCTATGAGGGGAGAAAATAGGCAATCAAAAATAATTTATGTTTGGCAATGTTTAATTCTATTTTGCCTCAACAGATTTCCCTTAACGAGATGCATTAAATATTAAAATCTTCTTGCAGTCCCTAGACATATAGTGACTGATGCAGGAGAGTAGCTTTTGGCATCTAAAATTCTAATGGTAGATAGTGGAATATAGTAAATTTATCTCCTGCCCCAGCACCAGAGGGAGCCCAGGCAGCAAGCTCAAAGATGAGTATTCCCCCTGGGGCTAAGGTACTGTGCATTTTGCTGAAGGTGCTTCAAAGTAATACAAATGATAAAGAAATGGTTTAAAAGCAGGGAAATTTAGTCTGGGGTCTTTCACAACCACTGAATTTCATGGGCAAAAGAATTTGGGAGAGCAGGAGCACTGGGTGTGGAGTCAGGAAGACCTGAGTTTAAATTTGACCTTGGAAATTTACTAGCTGTGCGACCCTAGGCAAGTCACTTAACCTCTGTTTGCCTTAGTTTCCTCAGTTGCAAAATGGAGATAATAACAGCACTCTCCTCAAAGGGTTATTGTGTGGATCAAATGAAATATTTGTAAAACGCTTAGCACAGTGCCTGGTGCATATTGTTTATCCTTAGTTCTTGAAGAATGCCACAACTTGCAAATGAATTGAATTTAAGTGAGGGAGGGCTGTGCAGTCACCAGCCTTACTTTCTTCCCCTAGCAAGATGTAGATCTGGATAACTGGAGATTGCTGCGCCCCACCCCCCACTCCCATAGTAAGGCACTATATAAATGCACATTCCTTTCCCCGAGGCCTAATAGTGTAGGCTATAGATTAACAAAGTCCTCTCCAGAGCACCCAGCCGCACCTCCTCGGTCCACAGTATTGCCTTTTCTTGGAAGTTAGAGATCCTCTCTTGCATCAATCCCCATGGATATTTTAAGTTACTTGGGGCCATTTAAGGAATTGTGGGTTATTTGATGTGATCAACCTTGTTTTAAAAGACCTGGCTTCTTGTCCACTGACCTGACCCCTCAACCATTTTCTCCGTGTATGCTAATTATTACTAGCCTCATTCTTCGCCAGTGACTCCTGACCACTTCCCTATCCCTGAATCCCGGAGGTCAGCTGGCTTCTTGCAGTATGAAGAAGGCAGGCACCTGGCTTGTGGTATTGACATGCCTCTTGGTGTTAGGGTGAACGGGTCAGGAACTTCCAGCAGGGCTAGCTGGGAAAACTTGAAGCTAGAAATAGTTCAGCACAGCAGGCAGACACCTCTTAGGAGTGGCCTGTGGACTGAATCTCCTACTTTAAAAGCTGCCTTTCCAGCCTTGGCTGTAAGCCGTCCAGTTTAAAATGGGCAGAGACTAATTTGAGTCTCTATTTCTAAGCTAGCAAAGGCAGAATAATCTGCTCTCTAAGCACATATCACATGCGTATCTTGGAGGTGGGTTTTTCAAAAGAACTATACCACAGAAAGACCCACTCTCCTCCTCCTTCTTATAAACTATAAGCTGAAATGTAGATCTCAGGATTTTTGAGGGTAGATGATTAAGAAGGCTTCAGATATGCTAGCTAATAGTGGTTCTTCTAAAAGCAGAAGGTCTTAATGTTGTTGGTGTCATGGACCCCCTCTGGCAGTCTGGTGAGGCCTCTGACCCCTTCTCAACATGTTTGCAAATTGATAAAGTAAAATACACGGGATTCCAAAGGAAACCCAATGATATTGAAATACAGTGGATTTTTTGTTTTGTTTTGTTTTGTTTTTAAACAAGTTTACATACCCCAGGTTAAGAACATCTGTTCTAAAGCAGGCAAAGTAACGTTGAGAGGCCTGGATTTTTAGTACCTCTTGAGCTCTTGGCTAGAAAAGTCTCATAAAGGCTACTGTCCCTCTTCAGAGGTATTTAGGGTTTACATTAGGGGCTCCCCCTCATCCCCTCAGTATGACAGAGACCTGTGTGCTCTTTCCCACTTTGGTATTTCCTGAAGAAATGTTCCTTCTGTGTTTTGACTCTATGGATTAACTCATTCCTCTTTGCAAAAAAAGTCTGGAGAACACTGCCCTATTTATGAACATCCTATTCTCTCATGTGCATTTCTGATTGTGAATGCCATACTAGACTTCCTTTGCTGGTGTAACGTCTTTATACTGTTAGAACTTTCTAATGTAACTTTAACTAACAAGGTGTCTAATAAGGAGTGATAATGGAAATACATTTCCTGATCTCTTTTTTTTTCTCTTTTCTCCCTCCAGTACACTCCCAGCATGAGGGCAACATACCTTTCCGTCACTGATGAGCACATGAGGCATTACGGGAATGAGTTTCCAGCCCAGTAGTCTTCCAGTGGTTTCTTTCTTTTCTTTCTTTTTTTTTTTCCAAAAGAAAACACAAGCTATATTTCTTGAATAGAAATTACAGGAAACTAGAAAAATGCATGAACTAAGGGAATGAAACAAGCTCAACTGAAGAGAGCATGAGCTGGTGGAGCTGATTCAAGAGAGGACAGGCTCCTGAGCAAGGCTGGAGTGCTGGAACATGGCAGACTGCCAACCACAGGCAAAGAGAAGATGTCAGGAGTCTCTAGGGTGTGCATGCCGAAGCCTCCCTAACTGTCTTCCTCTCCATGTTGGAAATGCCCTATGGTGAGAGCCTAGAAGCTGCTGTTCCCCAAGTTGTATTTCAGTCATTCTGTCCTTTCAAAGAAAAAGTGGGAGGCCTGGACAGTCCCAGATGCTGCAGCCTGGGGACAGAGCTGTCTCTCCTTGGACCTTCATTGAGGACTTTGTCTTCTGTTACATTTTGATAGTTATTCTGAGTCAAAAGCACAGGTCATCAGATCTCTTAATCTCCTCTTCCCTCTCCTTCCTAACTGCACTGATTAGGAGAGATTTTTTTTTTTACCTGCCTGAAATAGAGGGAAGAGTTGTTGTTTTTTTAAAGAGAAGTTAAATGTGAAATAAGTAGTTTGATACTGTCCAAATAAATAGGCCACAGGGCTACACTGACTCTTTGGTATCAGTGGTCTTACCATGTAGAAATAAGTTCATTGAGTATGGGACATAGGGATGGGAAGGTGGTAGAGACAGAAAAAAAGGGATAGCATTGGATAGTGCACATTGATAGTCTTCCAGGAGACTTTAGGATTGCGATTTGGGGCCGATTTGGTCTCCTCCATTGTGTACATGCATCATTCACATTTGCCCTTGGACAACCAGCCTTCCTATTATGTCTTTGACCACCTTGTTTCCTCCACAAATGAAAATTCTGCTCTGAGTTTATCAGATGTGATAGGGCTGGTCTCAGGTGTTTCTATAAACATTTGAAAAGGCATATAACTCTCTTTTTTTCCTCCAGTGTTTTTTTTTTAATTGGTTATCAAAAGGAGAGAAACCTTCAACACATTATCCTTTTAAGATGTGGGATTCTGAGTTCATTTCCTACATTTAAAAATATATATATATATTGGTATTATTCTTAGTACTGATCAGCTCCCCTGGGTTTAGCAGAATTTTTTTTTTAATAAAATGCAATAGAAAACTAAGAATGAGACATCTACTAGTGCTTGCAGAGGATCCTGGTTTCATCCCACTCAGGAAGAAAGTCTCTTTAATGAGAGAGGCAGCTAACCAGGATAATGGAACTGAATTTTCACCCTGGGGAAAAGGTGAGAGAGACATGTTACTTTTTTCACGTTTATTTCCATGCAAAATTTTCTCTCTTTTTCAAGAGGAAGATGTGGAGTCTTGGTAACAAGCAGGAAAATGTGTCTTCTACTGTGTCACACCTCTTCCCTACCACTGACATATTTTTTTTCATATACTATGCTACCAGCCTTTACCTCCATTGTGAAAATAGGCTCTTGAACCAGGAGGAAATAATGCCCTACCATTCTGCCTTCCTAAGGATTAAAGGTTAGGGTCTTTGGTGCTTCCAATCTCCTGCCAACCCAAAGTGCACATGCTCAAGCTCCTCCTAGAGCAGGAATAAAATTCTACTTTAGCTTGAGATGGGGCGACTTCTTGTAGCTTTGGAAGTGCTCCCTTGTTGGAATAACAATGCTGACGGTGTGGAGTATTGGCTAGCTTATGGCAGGTAAAACCAGTGTTGGCATGCCAGGCCATCCCAACCCAGGGCTCTTCCATTAGAGCTACTGAACTATCAGTGACTCACTGTGTCCCTCACTAATAATAACCTGTATATACTCTGTACCATAGAAACAGCCTTTGAATATCTGTGACCATGGACCATGTGACTAGGAGTGACTAGTTACACAAGGTTTTGCTTCTTAACATTTCATTGTTGTAACTAGGACAGCTATTTTTAACGCATGTAAATGGAACATTCTTTTGGGGGCTCCTGAAGGAGCAAAATGGGGAAACCTCTGCCTGAATGTGGATGTACCTGCCCAGGAGAAAGAAATAAACACTTATACTAAAGTTTGGAGTCAGTTTCTAACTTCCTCAGCCACGCAGGAACATCAAGCCTTGAGCTGACTCTTTCCGGAATGTGGTGGTAGTTCCTTAGGAGAGATAGAGATTACAAACTTTTTTTTTTTTCAAAGTCAAAGAATGTGAGGGCAATGTTAGTAAATCACTGACTTCTCTATTTTGGGCAAACTTTACCCAGGGAGAAAAGGTCCTCACTTCAGTTCCTATGCCATCCTGTTCTCCAATTTGCCTTGCAAGAAGACAGCCTTACTTTTAAATTTGTAACAGAGGGTCTTGGAGTCAAGAGGCCCTGGTTTTGAGTCCTGGCTCTTATTCTATTAATCATCTCTGTTCCAGACCCTTCTTTTTTATATAGCCCGTACAGAGCATTGTACTAGCAATTTTACAGCCTATGTTTGCTGCTTCCTGGTCCTGGTGAAGCCTATATCTGAACTGTACATATCCATGAAGTCAGTCATTCAAAGAGAATTTATTAGCAATGATTTTGTTCTGATCACTGTGCTAGGAACTAACCATAAAGATAAAAATGAAACAGGCCCAGACATCAAATAGTGACTTTCTCTCAGGGATGGCAGTGAGTGTGTATATCTAAGGGAAGGGCATTTCACATAGTAAGTGTCATTTGAATAGAATTTTGAAGGAAACAAGATCCTAAGAGTACAGTTTGAGAGAGAGCATTCCTGGCATGGAGGGTGGGGAAGGCAAAGATGCAGAGATGGGAGTTGGGGTGTCGTGTGCAAGAAAGAGCAAGGAGGTCAGTTTGGCTGGGGATTTGAACCAGGATGGTAGACATGAGTAGAGAGAGCATGGGGGCATGGATCTGTGAGAAAGGAAGTCTTCACACAGGTCTTACATAAAGCATTCAGAGAAGTCTGGATTCTCTTGATCCATGAGGACACTTGTACAACGACCCAACAGGTTGGGAAAGGAGCCCAGGTTTCCTGGTTCCCAGTCAATCATTTTGTCTATATGTACCAGAGCCAGGGGTGGGGAATCTGCTGCCTCGTGAGCACATGTGGCCTTCTAGGGCCTCAAGTGCGGCCCTTTGAATCCAAACTTCACAGAATAAATCCCCTTAATACAAGGATTTGTTCTGTAAAACTTGGACTCAGTCAAAAGGCCGCACCCAAGGACCTAGAAGACTACCTGTGGCCTTAAGGCCGCAGGTTCCCCCAGCCTGTACCTGACCATCTGGGGCCTTCCAAATGAGCATGGTCTTTTGGACTTTTACTTGTAATAGGGATGGGGCAGGGGCTTAGGGGAAAGGAGAGAAAGAAAGCAGCTGCTCCTCTGCTCTTTCCTGAATACCTGCAAGGTGGGTAACCTCTCTGGAGTGTACAACCATAGTTTTGAGGGAAGAGTATTTGGAATGAAACATAACAGGATTTTCCTATCACCAGGCTGAAAATTTATCAGATGTGAAGATAGATTACTTTATTGAAAATGTTGTCTTTTTTTACCCCTTTACAAGAGGTAGTGGGACCCCACTCCTTTTTCCTCCCAAACTATAGGATCCCAAGGGCAATGTGAAGTAATAATCAAAGCAGTGGGGCACCTCTCTGTGCTCTAAGCATTGCTGATTTTGAAGGTAACTACTCCAACCCAATTCTCATGTGAGAGCAGACACGAGATTCTACTTAATTTTCTCTGGGCTCTGAAGCGAAATGACATTAAGTCTAGACAAATAGAGAAGACTATGTGGTATGTGGGTGCTGAGGAGGTCAAGGGTTCTAGTTTGTTTCTCTTCTAGATCTGAGCTACCCTCTGTTCCATGACCAAAATCTACACCTCTAACCCTGGCCAGTCATTTCCTTTTCCTTTATTTTATTTATTTATTTTTTTTTAAGTGAGGCAATTGGGGTTAAGTGACTTGCCCAAGGTCACACAGCTAGTAAGTGTCAAGTGTTTGATCTGAGCCAGATTTGAACTCAGGTCCTCCTGACTTCAGAGCCTGTGCTCTATTCACTGAGCCACCTACCTGCCCCCAGTCATTTCTCAAAAGGAAAAGAAAGAGAGGGTGAGGAAATATCATGGGTGCTGGCCTCACAGTGAAGCCCGCATTGGCTCTGAAGATCCTTACTCAGCTCTCTCACAGATAAGTCTCAGGTCCTAGGACAACACTACATCTCTCCATCAGGGTTCTAGGGGTGCTTCTAAGGAAGTGGCTATGGTTCTCTAATGGTTTACAAATCCCCAAGGGGGGTTGTACTAAAGTTTCTTTAATGGCTCCTTAAGTAGTAAATAATAGCAGAATATTATGAGTGGTATATTAAATTACCCTGGGAGTTCCCAGCATTTTGTTGTTAAAAGTGGTTCACAGAACAAAAAGATATGTTGGAAACAGTGCTCTAATGTCATCACCTTGAGCCCCAACTGGTGTGTTTCCCCCAAGATTATCAGTTAAGAATTATGTTACTCAGTGATGGCAGCATTGGTCCACCTCCCCTAGACTTCCTAGCACTTCCTATGATTATCAAATATTGTCTTCTCCCTCTGAATGGGGTGTAACAGGCCCGAGTGTCAGGATGCTTTTAGATCCTGAAACAAATCGTTTTTCCACCAAAGTCTTCCTCCTTATGCCATAATTTATTAAAGGAGTAGAGGAATGGTGACCAGAATAATGTTTATCATAAAATGGAGAGTTGGAATTTTTTTTTCAAGGAGGAATAAAGCATTTATTAAGCACTTACTGTATGCAAAGCACTGTGTGAAGTGCTAGGGATACAAATAGAAAAGTAAGATAGCGTCTGTTTTTAAGGAATTCACATTTTTTTCATGCAAAACATATTTCTAAATTAGCCATGTTGCCAAAAAAATTGAAAAAAAATTTCAATCTGTGCTTAGAGTTCATCAGTTCTCTCTCTGGAGATGGATAGCTTTTGTCATCATGAGTCCTCTGGAATTGCCTTGGATCATTGCATAGCCAAGATTTCACAACTGATCATCATTACACTATTGCTGTTACTGTGTACAGTGTTCTGGTTCTGCTCACTTCACTTTGCATCAGTTCTTATAAGTCTTCCCAGGTGTTTCTGAAACCATCCCCCTCATCATTCCTTATAGCACAAAGTATGCCATCACAATCAAATATTACAACTGGTTCAGCCATTCCTCAGTATGATGGGCATTCTCTCAATGTCCAGTTCTTTGCCACCACAGAAAGAGCTTCTATAAATACTTTTGTACAAATTGGTCCTTTTTGTTTTTCTTTCATCTCTGGGATACAGACCTAGCAGTGGTATTGCTGAGTCAAAGGTATACAGTTTTATACTCCTTTGGGCATAGTTCTGAATTGTTCTCCAGAAAATCATTGGACCATAAATTGGAGTTCTTGATCAAGACTTCCCATATTAGTCTCTGGGCAATAACTCTTTCTAGTTCTCATTCTCAATGGGTTTACTCATCTGTGGGAATTGCCCAATTTTGGTCCATCTTCAGACTTCCCAAATCATATATATAATTATTTAGACTGTAAATGTGCATTTTCAGATGTAGTAATAATAGCTTTTGGGCTGCTAGGGGGTATGGTGAATAAAGTGCCAGGCCTGGAGTCAGCAAGACTCATCTTCCTGAGTTCAAGTCTGGCCTCAGACACTAGCTGTGTGATCCTGGGTAAGTCGCTTAATCCTGTTTGCTTCAGTTTCCTCATCTGTAAAATGAACTGGAGAAGAAAAAAGCAGACCACTCCAGTATCTCTGCTAAGAAAAATCCAAATGGGATCACAAAGAGTTGGACACAACTGAACAGTAACCATGACTTTTTTTTTTTTTTTTTTTTGCTTTTTGGTGAGGCAATTGGGCTTAAGTGACTTGCCCAGGGTCAAACCATGACTTTTAAGATCCCTTTCCACTCTAAATCTCTGATTCTCATCTGTAAAATTCACATTTTGATGAAGACCCTGAAGCTGAGAAATTGAGTGGTTTACTTGCCTGGAAGTAGCAGAATAGGAATTCAGACTCACATTTTCTGACCCACTCTACTGGAGCAGACTGACTTCAGGACATCTGACCTACACCCTCTTCCTTGCTCTTAGTCCATAAAACTGCTAGCCTGACATTCCTAGTGGCTGATGCTTCTCATTAAAAAAGACAAATCTGTAGATCAAAAGAATTCACCTACAGAGAAAGTGTGTATTTGAGTAGCTGAGTTCTTTGACCTGATTTTCTTCCCCAATTATCAACTTCTTTTTATATTTGTTTAAGGAGTAAATAAAAGTGGGATAGACATTAAAGTCAGTAAGATTTGAATAGTTCAGAAAAATTTGGGGCACCTTTTTTTTTAAAGAGCAGCTAGGTGGCACAATGGATAGAATGCCAGACCTGGAGTCAGGAAAACTCATCATCCTGAGTTCAAATCTGGCCTTAGTAGCTGCGTGACTCTGAGCAAGTCACTTAACCCTGTTTGCTTCAGTTTCCTTATCTGTCAAATGAGCTAGAGAAGGAAATGACAAACCACTCCAGTATCTTTGCCAAGAAACCCTCAAATGGGGTCTCAACAAGTCAGACACAACTAAACAATAACCTTTTTTTAACAGTGAGCATTTCCTTACTGTGGTATACTTCTAGGTGGCACAATGGATAGAGTTCTTGGCCTGGAGTCAGGAAGACATGAGTTCAAATGTGACCTCATGTGTGAGCTACGTGACCCTGAATAAGTCATTTAGCCTCATTTCCTCAAATGTAAAATGGGGATAATAATAGCACCTATCTCCAGAGTTGTGAGGACTAAATGAGATAATAATTGTAAAGCACTTAGTACATTGCCTGGCACACAGTAAGCACTATATAAATGCTAGTTATTATTCTTATTCTTACCCATCACAAACTTGTACCAGATGTTGGGGGGGGGGGGGGAGAGAGGATGAAGGAGAAAGGTGGCATTCCTAATAGTGAATGTGAGTAAATTGCAACACACAACCACCCTCAAGACAAAAAGGGGTAAAATAGGTCATTAACGTATGAAAGGAAAAGAAGGTAGCCTGGTCAGAT